CAACATCTCCAATGACCACCCTAAGGTTGCGGGGTATCTCTGGGGTTAGTTCAAAAACTAACTTGATGTTGCTGACTAAAAAATCTAAATAAAATAAAGAGCTGCCGGTACACTGACTGTAAACTTTATGTGAAAAACTCGATGGCATTCTCTCAAGAGTGTCATCTTTATACATCCCAGGACCACAGTATACTAAAAAATCTAGGGTAATCATCTGATGTTGTTAATTTCTATAACTATAACTTTAATTTTATTATACTTTCATTATAATTTCATATAATTACTTCAAGAACAACCTCCACAGTATGTGTGTATCTTCCACCACGAATTTTAAGACATTTCTGCAGAGGTTGCAAAGCTTCTGTCGGCAAATAGAAGAGCGTTCAATTTCAATTTTGACTCAATATCAGTTTCTATATTAGTGCTAACACTAATGCCATTGTTAGATATTAGTAAATTTTGTCCTTGTTTTTTTTCTAAATTTTCAATATTCTCTATAACAAAATCTACAAAATCTTCTTCAAATTCTATAATGCTCTCAGAGTCACTAATTTAATCACAATCAGGATCTTCATCACTTTCTGTATCACTACTATTAAGTAAAATATCTAACATCTCGTTCATATCTGTATAGTTATTTTTTTGGAAGACATTTTTTACACAAACTTCTATTTTAAATTGCAAACGATCTAGAAATGGAATTAACATGCGGTTTGAAGTAAAAACTGCTAAATTTTACAGCTAATAAGAGTCCGGTTTACTAAACATCTTATACCAATTAAAAATTTTGTAAATTTAGAAAATATTGATGACCCGCTAGGAGGGTCAGTCGTCATATAAAAACGGTTTTCATGACCCGCCAGGCGGGTCAGTTGTCACAAAAAGGTTAAAGAAAATTTTGATTGGAATTCCACCCACAATCAAGTAGAACCAAATTCCATTCAATTGTGCATGCAAATTTAATAAATTATGTAACTTAGTACTAACAGTTCTTCAAGACTTTTGGGCTTCTAGTACTAGATTTATATAAATAAGTTTCTTATCACAAAAAAAAAAAATGCGTAAATATATTATTATTTAAGTAAACTTATTATAAAAGTTAACTTGCAACTCTTGCCAATCAGATTAATTTTACCTTCAGCCAATTAGATTAATTTTACCTTTAGCCAATCAGATCAATTTTACCTTCAGCCAATCAGATTAATTTTACCTACGCCATCAAGAACTAGTTTTAAATAACATCTAATATTTTATTAAAGTTGTCATGTTTAAAGTTTGATTACTGGCCTTTATTTTGATATATAGAATAGTTGTCATTTGGTAACATTAATTTTACGTTCTGTTTACAAAAATCAAACCTTGTTTATACACTTGCAACTAATTCAAGACTCAAACATGATTTATTACAGTATAAGTTGTAGAGCTTATTATACAGTCTAAACTGTAGAACTTATCATACAGTCTATATAATTTTTTATAATTTTTTATACAATTTATATTTTTTTGTACAATTGCAATAAATGTTTATGCTGTAATATGTCATTTAACACCAAGGAAACTTTGTTTTCTTGGTCTTAAATGATATATTAACACCAAGACAAGTTTGTTTTCTTGGTGTTAAATGACATATTACGACAAAAAATTGTTTTATACAAATTTCCTCTATTTACCTCTACTGGTTGTGATTTAGTTTTCTTGGAAAAATTAATTTAAATCACATAATTGAAAATAATTAAACTGATTATGCTGATATAAATAAAGAGAACATGTCAAATATTCTTTTATGTTCTGAAATATGTTGTATCTAGGAAAGTTTTTGATATTATCAAATTGTTTCTTTCTAACAGCTTTATTAAAGTCATCCTCAATGGCCAACACTATTCTTTATTTCCAGTAACCTCTGGGGTTCTTATTTTATTTGGTCTTATTTTATTTCTTATCTATATTAATGATCTTTCCAACAACCTTATAACCTCTGGGGTTCTTATTTTATTTGGTCTTATTTTATTTCTTATCTACATTAATGATCTTTCCAACAACCTTATATCTAAAGTAGCTCTTTATGCTGATGACTCAATTTTATAATCCTGTCTTGACAAAAACTTCTTTCCCATCGCCATAAAGTTGCATCTCTTTCTCTTTTCTACAAATACTATCATGGCTGTTGTTCAATGGAGCTTTCATCTAGAGTTCCATCAACCAAAACTCATTCTCACTAGACTCGTCATTCATCAAATTCTCGTTCTTTTACTGTATCTGTCTCTTCATGCTCCAAAAACTTTTATTCGTCTATCTTTTTTCCCGGCACTTCAACCTTTTAGAATTCTCTCCTATCTTCATGTTTTTCTGACTTATACAACCTTTAACTTTTTATGTCATCTGTCAACCGTTTCCTTGCTCTATAACTTTTTTTTCTATAGTAACTCCCAACTTAATACTAATTGCTTGCAGCCTTGTTAGGAGTGAATCAGAATAAAAATTAAAAAAAACTTAAAAATTAAAACTCTAAAATATTGTTGAAATATGCTAAAGATTATCTCTAACTTACAAGCAACACTTTAAGTGCTCTTTGATTCAGGATCTTTGTTGATCCAGTTGATCTTTGGAGTTGTTGAAATAAAGATTCAAGAGTTAAATAAAGATTTGAGCGAATGACGAATGACGAACATAAATTTTTTATTAAATACATCTATTTATTAATTAAATAGATCTCTATATTGATTAAATACATCTATATATTTATTAAATACATTTATGCATTTATCAATCTCTTTAACAATTTTATTCAAAATATTTGTGTTATTCAAAGAATTTTATAAAAATTTATTGAATAACACGAGGCTACTAAAAATTTGCACAAAATTTGAATGTTCAAAACTCACAAACAAATTTGAATACTTCTGCAGTTCCAAGTTAAATATATACAATAGACATTCTTATTTCATAATCTGATACTGATTTTGGCAATTAAAATTATATAAATAAAATGGATGGAACTAAAGAAAACAACAAACAAAAGCTAATTAACTTCTATTTAGATAATATAGACAAAGAGGAAACATTTACAGTGCATAATTTTATGCAAATGAAAGTTGCAAGGCAAACAACTTATAATATTATTAAAGAGTTAACGATAATATTGACCTTAAAAAAAAGCAGAGAAGCGGCAGAAAACCATACAAAATGGACATAAGAAAAATTGCTTTACTCATTAACAAGGCTGAAAATAAAGTTGAAATCTTCCAGAGAAAATTCCATTAAAATATGGAACTCATAGAAGTTTTATTTATAAAATTTTTAACATGCATGGACTTGAATATTTCAAAAGAAAGAAAGTACCAGAAAGCTCTGAAATTCAAATAATTAAACAAAAACAACGACTGTTAAAACTTTAGAAAACTTTTTTCCGACCATCAAATGAGTTTGATATTATCATAGATGATATGAGATGATATCATGGATGATATCCTATTTTATGTTGAGCAGCCAAAACACACCAGGAAATGATGGCTTTTATAATCAAGATAAAGACAAAACTGAAAATAATATTAAATATAAGTTTAAATCAAGCAAAAAGTTTTATCATGGATTGCAATCAGTAGATTTGGTAAAATATATTCCAAAGAATGCATTGAAGAGAAACTTGTTCCCTTCATCAATTCACATCACAAAAATATAATATATATATTTTAGCCTGATAATACAAGCTGTCATTATGCAAAGCTAACAGTTAAAACTTATAAGAAGTTTAATATAACCTATGTTTCTAAGGATGCTAATCCACCAAATGTACCGCAATTAAGGCAGATTGAGAAATTTTAGGCTCACCTATAACAGAGTGTCTATTCCAATGATTTTAAAGCAAAAAATCTTAACCACCTGAAAAAGAGAATTCAACTTAAGTTACAAGATTTCAGTCTAGAATACTTTGAAAACCTTCTTTGCTCGCAAGACTAAAATTCGCTGTTTATCATGGGACACTTTCAGTTATAAGATGTTGATTATGGGACACTTTCAGTTATAAGATGATCTATTATTGCTATCCTTACTTATTTGATCAGTTGTGAAACAATAATATAATTTGAATGATAATTATAAGCAATTCTTTTTTGTGCAAACTTTTAGTAGCCTTGTGTTAATTATAGTGATCTTTTAAATTTTTTTTTTTTAAATGCATACAATAACAAAATTTTAAGAAACATACAATAATGAACTTTTAAGAAACATACAAAAGGAAACTTTTAAGAAACATACAAAAGGAAACTTTTAAGAAACATAAAATAATAAATTTATAAGAAACATAAAATAATAAATTTATAAGAAACATACAATAATGAACTTTTAAGAAACATGCAGCATTGATTGTGGTCAACAAACAGCAGGAACAGCCAAAGTTTTTGCCACAACAAAAACAAAACTTTCAAAAACACTATACAAATAGCCAAAATATCTCTCAAATCTTTTTTTTTAATATATATAAGGGATTTTTTTTTATATATACAAGGGATTTAATAAAAATACGGAGTTTGTATAAACAATTTAAAAATAGGTATATAAAAAACCTGAAAAAGACACCTGTTTTTGGAACATACCCCTGAAATGCATAAAAAACCTGAATAAAACACCTGTTCAAGGCCTTTAGTATTCTTGAAATGCATAAAAACCTACATAACACACCTCTTCACTTTTTCAAAAGCATATTAGAAATTAGAGATGCAAGAAGATTTGTAATATATTAATAAACAATATTGAACGATGCAACGATTTATCAACATTTATTTACTTAGCTAGTTTATTTAACTAGTTTATTTAGCCAATTATCAGCTATTTATTAATGATTAGTAATAAATTATTAATGATAAATAATATAATTAATAAAATTAATGACCGCTTTTAGCTGTTAATTATTAAACAACAGCTTTTATCAAGACAATGAATAAATAAAAATAAGAATTAATAAATATAAAATAAACGTAGTAAAAAATAATCAATAAATTTACCGATGTAATAAAAGATGTGATCTTTTGAATAACATATCTTGTTTTATTGTTATTGGGAGTATATAAAATCTTCCCTTCAAGAGTCATTGACAAAAAATCAACCATTTGGGGGGTGTAACCAGAGGATAATGATATTGTTTCAATAAGCTTTCTTCGTTTGTAACAACAACTACTGACATTGTCTAAAAATGAACAATACAGATGCTCAAAACTTAAAAATGAACAATACAGATACTAACTTAATTGGAAACTTTATATATTTAAAAATTTCAATATTTAAGTTTAAAATTCATATTTATCTTTAAATTTTTTAAGTTTAAAATTCTATTATAAATTTTTAGTTATAATTATTTTATTTTAACTAATTTTAATTATTATATATTTACAATCGAATCTAAATTTAATTTTATATATTTGAAAAGTAATTAACAAGTAATAAGATGATTTTATTAATATTGGAATAATATTTTTTTATTAATACTAATATTAATATGATATTTTTTTATTAACATTGCTATTGGTTTTAATTGATATTTTTTAAATTTAAAGGTTACTTTGAACTATACTGAGTAAACTTTTAAAATAGAAATCCAATTTATGCTGATTTCTTTATTGTTCAATTTGTAAAAAAACTGAACTTGTAACTACGCAGCTATATAGCAAATAAAACATAATTTTAAAAATTAAGTTTTTAATTTATGTATTCTGTTACAAATACTTTAATAACTCTTTTCTATGCTCCTGTATAAATATAAATAAACATAAAGTTTTAACTTTATGTAAGAATTTGTTATTGCAGAATATAATTCTGACTTCATGATTATGATTTGTTAGAGTAACTAATATAAAATATTTTAAATTATTTAATTTCCTCATTATTATCTCTGTTATTTAAAATAACCTCAGTCATTTTAAATTTTATCAGTAGATAGAGTTAAAGTTAAATGTTAAAAGCATCTTAAATGTTAAAAGCATCAACTAAGTTATTATTAATGATTACATTTTAAATTTATTATTTACTAAGTCTTTATCAATGGAAACCACTCTCAGCTTATAAGCGTTAAAAAACGTTAAATTTTAACCACATTTAACAAACATTTTAACTTTATTTTAAAGATTTTAACCACAAATATATTTAGGAATGCAAAAAAAAAAAATTTAATTTCTCCCCATTATTTTTTAATCACTAGTAAAATATTGGATCAAATTATAACTAAATGGTTGGTCGATATTGTATATTTCTGATACTCACTGGTTGGACAAAAACAAAACTTGGTTGCTGGTATAGAACTATCAAAGCAGCAGTTAAGTTTGTAGCATTGGCTTTCTGATATTCCACCCCAGCCACAGTCAGTTCGATTGGCTGGAGGAATTTGATTACAGGAGCTGCTCAAGCCACCTGTGAATAAATGACATTTACAAACAAATAGAGGACAACACATACAAAAAAAAAATTACACTTTTCTTTTTTAAAACACCATCTTGTATATATATATATATATATATATATATATATATATATATATATATATATATATATATATATATATATATATATATATATATATATATATATATACATATATATATATATATATATATATATATATATATATATATATATATATATATATATATATATATATATATACATATATATATATATATATATATACATATATATATATATATATATATATATACATATATATATATATATATATATATGTATATGTGTGTGTGTATATATATATATACATACACATATACATATACATATATATATATACATATATATATATATATATATATATATATATATATATATATGTGTGTGTGTGTGTGTATATATATATATATACATACACATATACATACATATATATATATATATATATATACATATATATATACATATATATATATATATATATATATATATATATATATATATATATATATATATATATATATATATATATATATATATATATATATATATATATATATATATATATATATATATATATATATATATATATCAATAAAACATAATATATGGTATCATATTATTTGTTATAATTAAAAGGGAAATTTTTGCTTATATTGCAAGAGTCGTTATTAAATTAAATGAACTTAAAAAATTATAAATATTGAGTACTAAAATTATTTTTTTATGTCCTTTTTAGCTTGGGCATATAAAATATGTTTTGAACATAAAATTCAAAATGAAATTGATTTTCTTATAAATATTTTAATGAAAAGACAATATCTGGATATTGCAAAAAACTATAAATATTTCCAAAACCATTATTATCTCAAAAGATTGACAGCAATATCTAATTGTTTTACCATGGGTAGCAAAATTGAGCCTTACAATTATAAAAGAATTTCATAAAATTGGTCTTAAACAGTTTTCCATATTGCTAACTCCTTACTTATTATACTATGCCATATTAAATCAAAACTAGCTCCAAATAGGGGTGCACCAACTTGATTGCACATAATAAATAGGGGTGCACCAACTTAATTGCACATAACAAATAGGGGTGCACCAACTTGATTGCACATAACAAATAGGGGTGCACCAACTTGATTGCACATAACAAATAGGGGTGCACCAACTTGATTGCACATAACAAAGTTTTTGACATCATAAAATTATTTTATTTGTTTTTTATATTTACTAATATTAATTTTTTTTGAACTACTGCAATTTACTAAATTATCGCAAAACTAGTTAAATTGGATAATTTAATCAAAACAATGTAGAAATGTTATTAGGGGCTATCCATAAATTATTTCATGAAATTTTGATCTTTTTTGAAGTCCTTCCTTTTGTTAAAACATTGTAATACTTTAATAACAAGTCTGGTAAAACAACTATTATATCGAAACCAAAAAACTAAATTTTCAAGAGTCAAGGTAACTTACCTAAAAGAAAATTTTTTAAAAATGTTTTATTGAAGGTTGTTGCTGTATTATTAATAACTGGACAAATGTAACTATAAATCTAAGATCGTCAAAATAAATATTCACATGGTAGCTAGATTAGATTTAGATTAACTTTTGTTTCAACTTTGTGCAGTTTTTAAAATGCTAACATGAATAGAGTATTATAAAATTGCTCTTTGTGTACATATATATTTTATATATACATACATACAAATTTATACATATATATATATATATATATATATATATATATATATATATATATATATATATATATATATATATATATATATATATATATATATATATATATATAGCTACCAGGGATGCGAAGTCCGGAGTCGGAGTCCGGAGTCGGAGTCCATGGAGTCCCTATTTTAGCCCGTAGTCCGGAGTCTCGGGAGTCCATAAAAATTTTAGGACTCCAGGACTCTTTTTTTTTTTTTTATAGTTATTAATATGCATAAGAAATACCTGATAGTCTTGTCACAAAACACTGTAAAAGAGCATTTGACCGGAAAGCTCATCTCCTTCCTTACTAATTCGAACCAATACTCAGATTGAGTATCGGTTAGAATGTTACGCCTTGTTAAGAGGCGTTACCAAGCTCGCATTTTACGTGCGAAAAGGCCATATGCTTATGCGTTCAGCAGTTTAACGTTAAGAGAAAACTTTCTTCTTTTAGAATATTTAATTTTTATTTTGATATCGTTGATGTGACGTTTATTCAGAAAATATAATGTTGTAAATAAAAGTATTTAACCGCAATTGCGATCTAATAGTTTTTTTTGTTAAAGAAACTGTTTAAAAACTTTTTTTCTGTTAAATTTAATTAAAAAAAATAAAGTGTTTTAACTTTAAAAATTGCATGATATTTAATGTTAAGTTTTATATTAAGTTAATAAACTTTTATTCGCAAATTATTTTCATTTTATATGTAACAATTTTTGTTTATTTATTTATAGTTTTAAAACAATTAATTTTTTTATCCCGTTAAGAAAGTACTTATGATTAACTGTTTATTTAAGTATTTCCTCATCATCAAATTTCGAGACCCAGGGACAATTTTCCTAAAAAGAGAGGAAGTTAACATTCGACACTTAAATATTTTTTATAAGACATTAGTCACTTTTGAAGGATTCATCCTCCTCATTTTATTCACAAAATCGCCACTGGCTAGACCTGCAGATAAAGATATGTTTGAACACTTAGTTGTTTTATTATTTTTTAATATTTATCAAATTTAGAGATAAATGATATTTTAGTGTTGAAGTTGCTTTTATGCATAAGTTTTTTCGTTATCTTTAATTTTTTAGATTGATCATAGAAAGAAAGTCGATTAGAATAGATTAACTAGGTTATGAGCAGTAGACAAATATTTTACCAAAGTCAAGTTCTTTAAAAAAAAATTGTCGATATATTTTTTGCTTTGTTTAAGCACTGTTTAAAACTGTAAACTATAGTAGGAAACTATACTTATAAATAAATGAAGCTTGTAAATACTATTAGAAAAAAAAATATATCTTTTTATTTCTTTTAATTTCAACCCAAAATGGCATGACTCTGTCTAAGAAAATAAAAAGTCTACTCTGCTAATAAAATAAAAAATTTTATTTTAATAACGCCTAATGAAAAATTGTAATGAAAGCAATATGGTTTAGATACGAAAAGCAATCAAATTTCACTAGCAAATTAATTATACGCAATAAAAAAACAAATTTGTCTGTGAGTTTGCGCTATAAAATCAAGCTAACGATCTAGACAGTTGGCAAAAAACGTACCATCAAGGTCAGAAAGAAGCCAAAAAAAGCTTATAAAAATACCTCAACAAATAAATAAAAATTATTTTGCACAGCAATTTCTTTTACAGAAAAACTACTAACGTCATCGATTCATAACTAGCCATTGTAACAGCTTTCCTAACTATGTTTTCGTGGGTTGTTTTACAAAAAATTAATTTTGCGAAGCATATATAACACAAAGAAAATACATTACATGTTCACAATAACTTGCAATAACAACATTCTTTCTTTAAAATAATATTTGCTATTAACTCGCGTGTATCAATCTTGACCAGTAATGGCCACTAACTATGCATCAGATACGATCTACAGACACTTTCATCGCACAAATAAAATTTTGAATGGATGCAAAGTAGTATGCTTCAAATGTCTTGTACCCGAAAAAAGTAAAAGTAACGAGTTATGTGGTAAAGAAATTACATGTGCCGCAAAAGCTCGCATTAGCAACCTTATACGACACTTATCTAGAAAACATGCGGAGCTCCTCATTACGTTAGAAAAAGAAAAATTAGAAAAAAAAATAGAAGAAAAGAATAAGAAGCAAAAATATACAGCCATCAAAGGCAGCACTTCACAGCAATCCATATTAAAGTGTTTTGTACCACAGCAAATTAGTTTGCATATTACAAAAGATGAGTTTTTAGAAGCCTTAAACCAGCTGGTTTTGGTTGAAGGTCTTTCATTCCAGGTTCAATTTATTTTTTCGTTAGTAATTATTTTTTAATTAAAAAAAAAAAATCTAGACAGTTATATGTTTTTTTGGCATTTTTAAATTAACATTTATCATTCTAAAAACAATATCTATAGGCGTTTGATCGGGAACCTATTCAAAAGCTTTGCGGAAAAGTTTCATCTCATTTTGGATTTAAAATGAATAGAGATAATATGAGAATTCAAATTATCGATCTTGCCAAAAAGCATCGCGAACAAATCAAAAACAAATTATCGAAAATGCTAATTTATTTGAAAGTCGATTCTACATCAAGGCATATGCGTCACTACCTCGGTATAAATGCCCAATACTCGAACAATGATGAAATTGCTGTGATCAATCTTGGCACGATTGATACAAAGGGAAAACAAACGGCGGAATACACAAAAAAAATTATTGAGAAGTGTTTAGATAAGTTTGGAATCAATAAAATTAATATTTTAGGCCTCAGTGTTGACAACGCAGCAGTGAGTAACATATTTTGAAATTCACTATATTTTTTGTTAATAAAAAAAATTTTAAATTATGTGATTAAAGTTATTATTTTCCATAAAATCATTTAAAAATTAAACTATTTTGATAAAATCTTTTGTATACTGTAAGGTTCACTAAACTTTAACTATTGAAATCATATTTAATATCCTTAGGTGAATATAAAGTTGGTGCGCGACTTTGGCATCAGCGCCGTTGAAGATATTGGAGATGACGAAGACGATTTTTCAGTAGAAACTGATGAATTTGACGAAGATGGTTATTCTAAAGCAGACAATGCGGAAGCAGTCTTGGCAAGTGGAGTTGCCAGTAGCATGAGTGTTATACATCTTCAAAGATGTGCTGTCCACACTTTACAGCTAGCCGTAAATGATGCATTGAAAAGGCCCAC